TAAAATTAAATTTAAAAAAATAAAAAAAGGGGTTTATCAAGCCTGTGGACCTCAGCATCCTCTGTGCTTCTTCCCTGCAAAACCCTTCAGTCACTAAAGCAAAATTCAGGGGGAAGGGAAGGGAAGGGAAGGGAAGGGAAAAGGGAAGCTGCTCATTGGCCCAGAAGCCAATTACAACAAATGGAAAGTGTTTTGCTTTTTAATCTCATGATTTTTTTAGCTAATCTCTCCTTTGGAAAGGGACGATTGGCTCAGCAGCAGGACGCTGCCAGGGAGATACAGCACGTGTGGAGTCCTGGCTGGAATGAAAACTCAAGTCTTTGCTCTCCAATCCTGTCCTTTTGGGTGGATTTATCCAGGTTTTTTTCTCAGAATGACTGTCCAGGGGCAGAGAAACAATAGCAAAACTTTGGGAAACTTCTGAACAGGGGATTTTGCTGCGTTTCTGTATCTCTTTTCTGAAGAAGGGAGTTTTCTCTTTTCAAAATACTCTTTTCATTTTGAGTTTTTCACCAGTTTGCACAGGAGAGTTTGGAGGTGGGAAAACCCTCTCCAGCCACTGCAGGCCCTTCTGCTTCTGTGGGCTTTGCCCTCCAAGTCCTATTCCTCACCTGCCCAGAGATCATGTAATCACAGGATTACAGAATCATTTCAGTTGGAAAAGACCCTTAAGGTCATCAAGATGATCCTTTTCCTGCTGAAAAGGAAGTTCCATTCTGGGGAACTCGATAAAAATGAGAAGTTTTAGAAGTGAAAAGGACCACGCACACCCAGAAATGGGTTTGGTTTGTTTCCTTCTCCAGCCCTGGACAAGACCACAACAGGATCCAGCAGAAGGGGAAAACCAGACCCAGCAGTCCAGGAGAAGACAGGAACCTCCTCACCCACCACCATGGGACAGTGCACCGGAGCTGGGAACCAGCTGGAACCTCTTCACCAACCCAGACTCTCCCAAGCACGTGGAGAGCCAGAGGAGGAAGGAGGCCACTGGATGCCATCCCCAGAGCCCATAAATTACAGCAGGGAACAGAGTTGCATTTGCCCTATTTCTTATCTGCTTGGAAATTGTGCTGCTTTCCCAGCTGCAAAGGCAGCTCTGTTCCCAAGAATTTCAGCAAAGCCATGACCTCTTTCCAGGATCGTACAGTATATGGTGGCGGGGAGCCAGGGCTAATTATAGGCACAGGAAAAGGGGAGAGAGGCATTTGGGAAAGCTCTACCTTCCCAGCCATGGGGAGCAGGGCAGCACAGACACAGCCAACCCCCAATGGGAGTACCCCAAAGGGCTGCAAAACCCAGGGATCCCAGGGATCCCATCCTCCTGGACTTCACTAGCCTAGCGCCAGCATAAATCTCATCTGACAATACTTCACAATTCCAAAGTGCTCTGGTGCAGAGGGGAAGCCCCTCGGGGGGAGCGGGACCCTCACTGCCCTGGCACAGGTCAGGCATCAGTACAGCACCACCCTGGCCACAGCAAGAACCAGAGTCTGTCAGTCCCACACCTGGAACCTGAGCTGTTTGGGGTCCCTGCAGAGCCCCAGCACCCAAAGGTGAACGACGGCAAAAGCCCCTCAGTATGCCCTTGTCCCCCAGCACTGCCCAAAAGCAAGACCTGCAAAGACACTCCCCAACCTGGAGGCAAATAAATGTGCATTAATTTAAACACTAGCCAAGGCTCTCGGGCAAAGCCACGTGCAGGCTTAGAGCTGAGTTCACTGTCACTTGCTGAGCAATGTCACAGGAGCCACCTCCCTCCCCTGACCCGCTGCAGAAGTGGACAAGGACATGGTGACACGTGTGCCCACGAGACCTTCCGGCAGGGAGGAAGCTGGGCAGGAAAGCACAAAACAGGCAGCAACTCTTTTAACCACCAGGCTCCTCTTCAGAGCCACGTTTCTGCACAAAACAACACCCGGAGAAGGTAAAAATCCCACCTAATGTTTTCTTTGAGGAAGGAAAAAGAAAAGCCAGGAACCTTCTCGCTTGCCGCAATGGTTTTCATTTTCCACCAAATGAAGTGGAGTCTGGGCTCTGGCTGCCGGCAGACCCCCTCCCTGCCTGCTCGCTGCCATGTGTGCCTGCGCTTGTGGGAATGTGTGGGTGTGTGGGTTTTGTTTTGCTTTCTGCACCGGCTCTGCAGACCATCTCCTGCTCTCGCCCATCGCAGCCTGCAAGGCTCAGCCCAGCTCCATTATCCGCCAGGGTGGACTTCCCACTTCTGTGCTACAGCCTTGTGCAGGGCCGCTCTCCTTCTCCAAGAACTTCCAGAAACAAGGCTTGCAGCTATCGCAGCCCTCTGGGTGCTGCAGAGCTGTTGCCATTGCCAGTCACTCCGAGAAGGTGCCTGTGTGGAGGGGAGGGTGCCAAGGCTGGGTGCTGCAGGGTGCTGGCATGGCTGTGCCCCCTGGGACAGCACCAAGCAGGGCACCAGCGCAGCCTCCCAGCAGGAGAGCACCTCTCACTAAAGGAAGGAATCTGCCTGAGCATACTGGGTCCAACTGATGCCCTTTTCTAACGCTCTGTGGCAGCAGGGAGGGCGATCAGGGCACAACAAGTTTGCCCTGCTCCTGGTGAGACCCTTGGGATCACCTCCCACCAGCCTCCTGGATAACAACCTCAGCTAAAACCCTGCCCTTGGTGCGTGGCCCCAGCACTGCAACTCTCAGAAACTCTCCAAAGACCGACCCAGCCTTGGTACAAACCAAAACCAGCACTTTCCACATGACACCCCTTCCCCCCAGCTCCTACACTCCCAATGGGCACGTCAAGGAATGCAGGGGAAGGTAAACAGGAACAACTTCCCCACGGCTCACACCAAAGACCCCGGTATCAACCAGAACCCAGCAGCTCCCCAGCACACACCCCAATTGTCACAGCAGCAGGACGGAGCACGGACACCCATCCCCACAGAGCTGAGCCCACCTCGCTGGCACTGCTGGCACATCCTGGTGGGGCACATGGCCTGGGCAGGGCCCGCACAGCCCCGGCCACCCGGCTCCACGGGCGGCTCCACGGGCGCCGCCACGCACGGCTCAGCCCTAACGGGATAACAAGCTCACAATGAGATCCTAATGAAGGATTAGCGAAATACAGTTTAAAGAGATTAAGTCTGGGTGTAGCACTGAAACTTTTTTATTTATTTAATTTTTTCCTGACAGCCCATCAGAGGTGAGACACGGATTACAGCCAACATGGATGGAGCTGGCATCCGCCGCCGGCTCCAGCGACTCGGGATGGTTTTCGCATCGCATTTGTGCAAAGAGGGGCCAGGGCTGTAAAAACCATGGAGGAACACACAAAAAATGGCTCGTGGCGCCTGCAAGCCCTGCCCAAGGCGCTTCACAGCCAGCCAGAGGCTTCCTTCATCTCTCCCCTCCCACACCAGTCCCTTCCCATCTGCATCCCAGCTGCGCCCGATGCTCCCAATCCCGTTCATAATGACTGCTGATGTTATCCGCCCGAGCCAGAGCCTTCCAAGGAGCCCCAGGGAAGCAGGTACTCAACTCTCATTCAGGGAAAGTTATTAATAGTAATTTCTTGGCTCTACACAAACAGAGCAAGAAGTCAGCCCTGGCCTGGGAGAGCTTGGCGTGACTGCCAGCCCCACGTGCTCCGAAAGGTCAGGAGTCTGGTTCACCCCCAAATCAAACGAGGATGTTTAAAATAGAAGGCAACACATCTGGGGTTGCTTTTTGGCTTCTTTTGACCACTCATATTTTTTTCAGCAACCACCAACACCACAAATTTTCTTCTCCTGAGAAAGGGCAACGTGACTGTCACCCCATCATGGAAATCCAGGACCAGGAATTTGCTAAACCAGCCCCAAGAGTGCTAATGCCCAGGGGGAAATGGACAAACAAGGCTGGTGCTGGAGGACGGGCTCGTTCCATGAGCAGTGGGGCGACTGCTCAAACCCACCCCTCATTTCAGCCAAATCCTCAAAAGCCACGCGACAAGAGGGAGGTGGGGAGCTGAGAAACATGCCTGTTGAGAGACTACAAAACAAATCAAATGAAGATGTTTGGAGCAGATCCAGATGTTTATTAGTGACGCACACGGAGGTATAAATAATTATCCGGTAGGAATTTTGTTCACAGGCAGCTCTCCCTTATCTAATCAGATCTCAGTGCGACATGGCCCTGGCCTCCCCCTGCTTAAAAAGTCTTGAGAAAACCAGATGCAAAATAAAAAAACCTCACATGGGGCACCAATTTAATCCCATTAATCACTGGATACTGGGAGCAGAGCTGCCAGCACTCAGATCTCATCCGGCACAGCTTAAGGGAGGATTTTTTCCTTCAGCAGGAGCACTGGCAGAGGGTCAGATCCTGCACGAGGGTGCAGAGAAAGGCCAGGAGCTGAACCCTAGCACCCTGCCCCACGTCCAGCACCAGGCACGGGTAAAGTGGCATCTGTGGGGACAGGAGCCACCGTGGCATTGGCTGGGCCCCTCCACACCAGTGCAAGGAGCTGGACAAGCTCTTGCCTGTAAAAAACCAACTGCTTAAAATACCCTGGCCAACAAACCCCTCCCTTGTCCGGCTGCGTGGTACCGACCGGCCTCTCCAGCGTCCGGACACTGCAATTACCTAAAAATAAATGGACCACAAACCTCGAGAGGCCAAATGGCTGAGGGGGATGAGGACAGCAGGGAACGTGCCCCAGCAGCACCGAGCCTGGCTGGAGGGACCAGGAGTGGCTATCACGGCACCACCATGAAGCCCAAGCCCAAGGGTTCACATGCAACCAAAAAACAGATGAAAAAAAGGCTTTAACAGCTCAAAAACACCACCTGAGCTGATTTTTCATCACCTAACCCATGGGAGGTGCTGGCCCACTGAGCCGCACCACCACCCCCACATCAGCAGCCCCTCACCCTGCCAACCCCCCACCAGCATTTCCGATGGTTTTACAAAAATTTAACCCAACCCACCCATCATAGGCAAGGCTGCAGAGGGTTTTGCAGAGGCCAGAGAGGAGCAGTGTTGGAAACTTACTGTAGGAAATTGGCCGCTCGGCTCCAGCTCCTTGTCCCTACTGGTGGGAAAGTCTATAAATCTCTAATAAAGAAAAAAAAAAAAAAATCCCCTCCTATTTTATTCCTTCTCTCTCCCCCCTTCCAAAGGATTGCGAAACGGAGAGGGCAGCCAGGGCTTGGATTCGCAGCATTTCTGAGTTCCTACAGAGTCTGGGCTCCCTGCCACCAGCAACAGCGGCTCTGGGGGTGTGGAAAAAGGGAGGAAAAAAAATAAAAAGAAGAAGAGGAGTAAAAAAAATATATAAAAAAAGTGCTGTTTATTTTGGGGGATGAGAGAGAAAGCTTGCACTGCACACAAAGCGGGGTGGAGGGGGAGTGAGGCTCTGGCACTCCTGCAGGCATTTGGGAATCAAAAAGGCTGAGTTAAAACACCTCAATTTTGGGTGGGAATACTGAGCTTGCAGAGGATGCTCTTTCCCAGAGTGTACATGGGCAGTAAGCAATCTCGTATAGAGGGAGGCAGCACCTCCCAGAGCAGCTGGAGCCCCTCGAGGGCACCCATGGGTGCCAGTGGCAGCTCTCCTCTGCCCTGCCCTGCCCTGACGTGGCCCCAGGCGCTGTAAGGGGAATTACTGAAGACAGGCTGGAAGAAAAGCCTGCTCCAGCCGTGACCCAGATTCCCCTCCAGCCTGATCCCTCACTGAAGTCATAATCCTTGGAGGGCTTCTGGTCTTTTTTTTTTTTTTTTAAATACATCCCTGAGCGTTGCCATGGTGACGAGGGGGATGCTATAATTTCAGCATTATAGACTTCAGCGCGAGAACAGGAGGGAGAAGGTGGTAGAAATATGGATGAGCTGCGCTGGTAATGCACTTAGAGAAAAAAAGAATTAAAAAAAAAGAAAGAAAGAACCAAGGCAGCACCTCGGCTTGGGCAGCAGAGGCTGGGCCATGTCAGAGCCAAAGGGATGCAGGGGATCACAGAATCATGGAATGGGCTGGGTTGGAAAGGACCATAAAGATGATCTCGTTCCACCCCCTGCCATGGGCAGGGACACCTTCCACTAGACCAGGCTGCTCCAAGCCCTGTCCAGCCTGGCCTTTGGCACTTCCAGGGATGGGGCAACCTAAGCAACCTCTGCCAGGGCCTTACCACCCTCGGAGGGAGCATATTCTTCCCAACATCCCACCTAACCCTGCCTTCTGTCAGCATGAAACTGTTCCCCCCTTGTCCTGTCACTCCAGGCCCTTGTCTAAAGTCATTGCCAGCTCCCTTGGAGCCCTTTAGGCTCTGGAAAAGGCTCTAAGGTTTACCTGGAGCACTCTCTTCCCTGGAATGGGACCTGCTCCTGTCCCACAGCCACAGTACCCACTTTGGGGCATTGTCAGGGCAGCAGCTTCCCTGGGCATGGATACTCCAGACCCCACAGGACTTTGGGGGATGCAGGCTGCCACCCTGCCAGGACACAACGACAAGTCCTAAATCCCCCAGAAAACTTTGTGGAGTCCAAGGAGGCCCTGAGCAGGAGCACCCCATTTTGGGGTGGCCTTAGCCCAGCCCACCACAGCTCAGCACCCAGCAGATGCCAAAACTTTGCAAAGAAGCAACTCCAAAAGAGCTGCCCTCCCCTTTTTACCTCTATTTCCTACCACCTTTCCTTTCTGCCTGCCTTGCCCATAGCAGGTCCCCAAGGTATCCCATGCAAGTAGGATGTGGGAGACCCTGTGCTCCTGTCCAGCTCTCAGCTGGAATAAAAACCACCACTGCCTGTGATTTTGCAAGCACATGAGATAGCTCTGGGTGTTTTTAACATCACACCACCTTGGTTCAGCCCTGGAGAGCCCCTGGGCTGGTGTCTCTGAGTTTTCAGGCTGGTAGGTGACCTGTGACCCCACAGGAGGGATGAACCAGGAACCTGATGGCTTCAGCCCGCCCCAGACCCTTGGGACCTCAAGCTCTCCTGTGGCACAGAAATAGCAGAACTGTATGAACAGAAGCCAAACCAGTTTTAGGCACGTTTCCACTCTGCTCGCAGCCCTTCCCGCCCCATTGCCAGGCACTGAACCGGCACCTGCTGTGACGAAAGATTTCCGAAAGACGCACAAATAAAAATAAGATCATACACAAACACCTCTGCCCAAACCCAGACCAACGGCCCATGACCCCATCACAAGAGAGATGGGCTGCCAGGGACTCACAGGGTCCCAGAGGAAGCCAGGCTGCCCCATGGGATGCCAGGTCCACACCACGCACAAGTGGGGAGGTGAGAAGAAGCTCTGGTCTGCTGCGTGGCACTTGGCACGGCGTCCTCTGGCCATGCAGCCTGCACCCCTCAGCCTCTCTGAGGGTTGGCACAGAGATCCTGACCACAAAACCCAGGTGGCCAGTGCTGGGGGGCACTGAGACATCACTGTCTCAGTTCTGCACTGCAGCCTCGGTGCCTGGGCACAGCTCAGTGGGGATCCTTGAATCCCACCATGATGCTGGGACAAAAGGTTCTCCTGAGCTCTGAAATCCTAAACAAAACCACAGCATATCACTGCAAAAGTGGGAACTCCAGGTGTGGGGTGGCAGCAGATGCCAAGGACCCTCTAGCAGGACTCAACGCGCTCGTTCCTCACTACAAAAAAGCTCGTGTAACCCCAGCGGAAAAAATATCGTGACTGTTTTATTTCCGAAGGGGAGCCAAACCCCCAAACTACCATCTTCAGCATCTGACCTGTCAGGCCTTGGGCCATCAGGGCGCTTTCAGCACTGCCCCGAGCTCCAAATTTAGCCTCAAAAGGTATTTATCTCTGAGAAGCTAAAACCAAAGCTGCATTTGCATAACAAAAAGACCCCGATGCTCGGTGCAAGTGCTGCTGGCAGGGGAGAGGACATGCAAAGCAGGCTCTCTCGCCAAGCAAAGGCGATGAAGGTCACCCAGACAGATGCTGAGCTCGCCATGGCTGGTCCTCTCCACTGGAAAGGACAAGGCAAGAACGTCTTCCCATAAGGAAAGCATCTTCCCAACCTTCCCACTTCCACCTCGTCCGGTTGGAGCACCTCTCTCCAGCACAAAGGCAGGTGTGAAATCCTGCTCGATAAAGCAGGAACTCACATCTGGCCCTAAGGCTGAAAGACCTGAGGGCAACTAACAGGATTTTTCCAAACCCTCCCAATCTGTGTTGAGAGCTGGGCTCACCGTTTTCCTCTCCTGGATGCCAGTGTCTGGCACAAGGACAGGCGGCTTCATCCCCCTGGGAGCGGTGCCCATGGGGAAGCAGGAGGGGAGGAACCCAGTCCTTGGCCTTTCCCCAGCAGCTCCCACGTCCCCTGGGGCCCCCGGGAGCAAGCAGGAACTCATCCCACTGGGACCCCCACCTCTCCCAGCACAGCAGTTCTGTGCTCAGCTGTCTGACACCAGGTCAGCACCTGCTGGTGCCCGTGGCTCAGCCCAGCACCTGTCCCATCGTTTTGGGACAAAGTCCCTTCGGGAACTGGCGCCACCCGACTCCCTGTCTCCTCCTTGTCTCCTCCTTATCTCACACCGACTGAATCCCCTCCTGCCCTGCCATCCTCACAGCTCACTCAAATCTCAACTATTCCAAAACCCCAGGGCATCACACCGAACCCAATAAAGCATCGCTGTGCCCCAGGCTGCCCCAAGAGCCAGATGTTCACGTCTCGCCCCCCTCTCCCCCCTCCCACAAGGAAACGCCAGCTCTGGGGAGAGGATTGATGGAGGAGCAAGAAGCAGCCACCAGCTGCCGCGGGAAGGGGCCTTGGCTGCCTTCACCACGAGCATCTTGCTCCAACCATTTGTTCTGCTTCTATTTTCGAAAGCGCTGGGGCTCGGCGCTCCGCAGATCCCAGCCTCCCTCCCAGCCTCCCCACCGCCGAGCAAGGCGACATATTTCTGCTAAGGGGGAGCGCCGGCTCCGCTCCCCATCTTGGCAGCAGCATCCACGCAGGACTGGGGATATTTTTGATCGAGCGAGCTGAGAGGTGCTAGTTTTCCCGGCGGCTCATTGCCGGCGCGTGGGAAGGACGGCCATGGCGAGTCAGGGGAGGTTGAGGATGGATCCGTGACTGATCCCTGTGCTTAAAACCCTGGAGATGGGGCGTCAAATCCTCCTAAGTCATGCAAACTGAGATGTCCAGTGGCACATGGAGCTCTCTGGGAAAGCACCACCCGAGGGACAAGGCTGACTTTGGCTGCATCCCAACCCCCTGAGCCCTTCTGGGAGCCCCCACGCTGGCCCATGCTCTCAGAGGAGAGCTGGCATGTTCACAATGTCCGTGTGATCCCAAGGGCTGCTCCTCACCAGAATACTCGATGGAAAACTGCCCCATGCCCACGTCCAAGTAAGCCCTGCCTTCACCCAACCCTTCCACATCCCATTCCAGTTATTGAAATAAATTTGCTGCTACGGCAGGCTTTTCCTAGGGGCAGAGACGTGTCTCCAGGGAACATGTGGTTTACTCCTGGGATTAACCTGAGGGTTGGAATGAGATGATTTTTAAGGTCCCTTCCCACCTAAACCATTCCATGTGTCTGTGATAACTGTGCCTAGAGGCACCTCCTCACCTCCATGACCTTCCCAGTGGTGCCAGCACCAGACACAATTGGTGACACACAAACACTTTCCTTTCCCCCATGGTTTTTCCAGCAAGTTCTGCACCAGTCCAAGTGCTGCATGTCAGGCTCCGTGTCTGACAGAGCCAAAGCCAGAGCTCCCTGCAGGGGAATTCTACAGGCCAAAAATCCACAGTTCCCAGCAGGAAGAGGGTGCTGGTGGCAGAGCCAGGCTCCAGCAACGCCAGGATTTTAACAAGCTCTGGGGTCTTCGCCTTCAGCCACTCCAACCTGCCACCCACCACTGAGCTGAGCAGTACCAGGGTCCCCACCCAGAGGAGGTGCCAGGGGTGCCACAGGACACCACAGCCCAGGCATGGACACCATTCCCAACCACTGGCATTTGGACAAAGAGGGCTGTTCCTCCCAGGGCTGGCAGCTCGCTCAGATGCCAGCAAGAAGCCTGCGGGTACCAGTTCCATGGGGACATTTATCACATTTAGACAAAGCATGACAGCTCAGCCCTCACCTATAGTTACACAAATGCACAGCCACTCTGCCTCTGTATTTCCAAAATGGGTGAAAAACACCCATTTCTTGGCCAGCCCAAGCTTGCAGATGGTCCTTCCCCATGGATGCCACCACAGACCAAGAGCACCCACGCCTGGAGCCTGGTCCCTGCCATTCCCTGCCCCAGCCCCTCACCACAGTCATTTATCTCCTGCTCCCAGCACTGAGCACAGCAGCTGCGGTGCAGGACGGTCTCAGTGACTGCCTGTGCAAAATAAAAAAAGGCTGGTCGGTCAAAATAACTCGTCCACATTCTTTATTGTAATTTTTTTCTTCCCTGCTAGTGGAAACTCCTGCTCCGGCACCATGTCTCAAGGTTACTGCTAGGGGTGGGGGAGGATTTCAGGTTTTACAACTGAAAAATTCCAGAAAGAA